CACCTGCAAGAATTGATGTCCCTGTTGGACAAAATAAAGTGGCAGCGAATGATTCATCCAGTGCACGCCTGAAGCGTGGTAGACCCCCAGGTTCAAAAGATTCAGCCCCTCGAAAGAGAAAGATGAGGGCCCAATTGAACCCAAATGATATCATTCAAGAAAAGGAATTGAATGATAAATCCACAATTCGTGACTCTGTACTTCCAGAAAAAGAAAATGTCCTTGATGAGACACATGTCCCTGAAGAGACAGAAGTACATGAAAGCAAAGAAATATCCATAAATTATGCATGTACTAATGAATTGTGGGATCGAAATGAAATAATCATCGATGACATGTTTGCATTTGCAATAGCCACTGAAATTATATTAAGTGATGATATTGAGCCCCGCTCTATTGATGAATGCAAACAGAGACAAGATTGGCCTAAGTGGAAAGATGCAATCCAGGCAGAATTAAATTCCTTGGAAAGGCGAAGTGTTTTTGGACCAGTAGTCCAAACCCCAACTGATGTAAAACCCCGTAGGTTACAAATGGGTGTTCACAAGGAAACGCAACGAGAAAAACGAGATTGCAAGATATAAAGCACGACTCGTTGCACAAGGTTTTTCACAAAGACCTGGAGTTGATTATGAAGAGACATACTCTCCTGTAATGGACACAATTACGTTCCGTTATTTAATAAGTTTGGTGATTTCAGAAAAACTTGACATGCGACTTATGGATGTCATCACCGCGTATCTATATGGAGAATTAGATACTGACATATATATGAAAGTCCCAGAAGGACTTAAGTTGCCTGAAGCAACTAACAAACCACGGGGTATGTTCTCAATCAAATTAAGGCGATCACTATATGGGCTAAAACAATCTGGGCGAATGTGGTATAATCGTCTCAGTGAGTATTTGATTAAAGAAGGATATGCCAACAATGTCATCTGCCCTTGTGTGTTCATTAAGAAATCAAATACTGGATTTGCTATAGTGGCAGTATATGTCGATGATATGAACCTAGTTGGAACCCTTGAAGAGCTCAACAAAACTGCTGAATATCTGAAAAGCGAATTTGAAATGAAAGACCTTGGGAAAACCAAATATTGTCTAGGCCTGCAGATCGAGCATTGTGTTAGTGGAATTTTGGTCCATCAATCAGCTTACATTGAAAAAATACTGAAGCGATTTGGCATGGACAAGGCTTATCCACTTAGCACCCCAATGGTCGTTCGTTCTTTGGACATTAAGAAAGATCCATTTCGTCCAAAAGAAGATGATGAACTGGTCCTTGGTCCAGAAGTACCATATTTGAGCGCAATAGGTGCTTTATTGTATTTAGCACAATGTACTAGACCAGATATAGCTTTTTCAGTTAACTTGTTAGCCAGGTATAGCTCTGCTCCAACAATTCGTCATTGGAAAGGAGTCAAAGATGTTCTACGATACCTTCGTGGGACAACAGATATGGGTCTCTTCTACTCAGACAAGCCCACAAATGAACAAATCCTTGTTGGATACGCAGATGCTGGTTTTCTCTCCGATCCGCATAAAGCCCGCTCACAAAATGGATATGTGTTCACTAATGGAGATACTGCAATTTCATGGCGATCAACAAAAGCAAACGCTAGTTGCAAACATCTTCCAATCATTCGGAAATAATTGCTTTACATGAAGCAAGTCGTGAATGTTCTTGGTTAAGATTAATGATCCATCACATCCGGAATTCATGTGGTCTACCTTCAAAGACAGACACTCCAACTGTCATCCATGAAGATAATGCAGCCTGTGTCGCTCAGATGAAGGAAGGATTTATCAAAGGTGATAAGACTAAACACATATCTCCAAGATTTTTCAGCGCACATGAGCTTCAGAAGGCTAAAGTTATTGAAGTCAGACAAATCCGTTCTAATGAAAATTTAGCAGACTTGTTCACCAAATCTCTACCAAAGTGCACATTTCAGAAGTTGGTACAGGGAATCGGATTACGTCGGCTTACAGATTTGAAGAATGCGGAATCAGGGGGAGATACAATTCAGGGGGAGCATCCATGATACATGCATGTTGTACTCTTTTTCCTTCGCGTAGGATTTTTCCCACTGGGTTTTTCCTATCAAGGTTTTAACGAGGCAACCTAAGCATGCTCAACACCATCCGGGTAAAGTTGTACTCTTTTTCCTTCGCTATGGTTTTTTCCCACAAGGTTTTTCCAAGCAAGGTTTTAATGAGGCAACTGATGTTGATATGTGGGCATCCAAGGGGGAGTGTTGTAAATAATGGGTATGTTTGCCCACATGTGTATAGTAATGTGTATAGTGAAGTATCACATGTGTATACTATATACTCATAAGCTAAATAGTAATGTTTTGTAATTTTCTATAGAAGTAGCTCTATAAATAGAGCACTTCAATTGTGCAAAGATTAGTGAATGAGAAGAAGAAAGAAAAGAAAAATATATCTAATAGCAATAATATACATTACTTCCTTTGCAACAGCTTGTGTCGGTATATTACTCTGCAACTGCTTCGTTCCTTCACCGAGTAAAGGTTATCTCTCTATAAATTTTGCCTATTTATAACATTTTCTTCAATTTTCTGATTTTTTTTTTCCTTTACCTTGAACTTTTTGGTGGCAGAATCAGGCGCGGGTATATATACGCTAAACGTTTGTGGTTTTTCCATTATTTTAGGGAGATTTATTTAAAGGTAAATTAATGAAAATGATTTGAAAACTTTGAGTTTTAACGATAAAGGATAAAGTGAATCGTACCATGATTGACTTTTTAGTGTAAAAATGTGGTTTTTCATTAAAGTGAACAGTATCGGAAGCTTTTTGTTAAAGTTCTATTTATTTAATGGGTGTGATATTCACACATCCTTTTTACTTCTTCCACATCTTTTTAGTTTTCGGCCATCAGATCGGATGAATTGAAGAAAATCAATGAATAGAAATGAATAAGAGGCGTGTGAGAAGTAAAAATGGGTAGGTAGATAGCACATCTCTTATTTGATTGAGATTCTTAGAGATTTTAATTTTTTTAATAAATTTAGGGATATTTAATTGAAATTTTTTATTATCCATCTAACCTCTTTTTACTATCTTTATTAACTTATTACATAATTATCATCAAGTGCAAAATAAAATTAACAAGAAAAATCAGATTTATTTATAAACTCATACCCAATAATGAAACCCTAACCATTAAATAATTTTTTTCCTTCATTCCACTATGGCAAAAATCCTAAGACGCTCTCATAGAGAAAAACAAGCTCTTTTATTGGATAAACGTTAATTTTGAGGTTTAGGATCCTCTAACTAAGGCATGAATCAGTTTATGCAAGAGTTGGATTATTGATTTATATGTCATATACTAACGTTATGATTGTTCCGGGCTGTATAAGTTTCCCAAGTGTTTTCATGTTCATTTTGGACAATGTTTACCAAGGCTTCTACTTAATTTAAATAACATAATTATGACATCCTGCTTTCTTTTATTGGATAACAACTACATACTTTGTTTCATTGTTTTCGCATTCTTCTCAGCTCTTTTCATTTGATTCTTCAATTCACCGTCATTCTAACTCTCTTCATTACACCACCACTTTCTGACACACCCTGACCCGGAATGTCCACTTAGACACCCGAATCGTGATGTGTTGGGCGACACCTGGAATATAACGAAGCCTTAAAGTGCAGTGATGTGGAAAATGTGAATAAATTAAAATCTAAAAATGACTAATCTAGAGTGCACATGTAAGCGGAATTGAACTCATGTCACACAAGTGATGTTAGAGCATAGATTGCAGTAAAAAAAGAGTAAGGACATTTATACCGAAAGGAAAAGTCTCCTACATGACAACTTTTACTAGCAATCCTCGTTGTCATGAAACCTCTGCCACTAAAATCCTGGAGTGGCGAAAAACAAGGATGAGTGGGCCTAAAAAATTAAGTTTTGTAAAACCTTTTCGAAAAGAGTATCAAGTATCAAGTTGAGTTCTTTTTTTTTATTATTAATAGATAACATCTATGTTTCATATAACTTTTTCTTTTTTTTTCCAATAATTTGAGTATAATCTTTGGAAATTCTCTTGATAGTTACAATATTCGTGGATTGTAGGAAGAATTGGAGTGCATAGACCTCATCCACATGTGACAGGTTTTAAGAGCAACTCTACCCTCTAAGGTAATTATTGCTCAGGCTATTGAGCAAATGTAATTATTGTCCAAGCTATTTAGGAGGGGAGATACACTCGAAAGTTACTATTCACTAAGACAATAATTGTCTTTGCTCAATAGTCTAGCAATAATTACCTTGGTAGGGCGGAGTTGCTCTAAATAATCACTCAAAGCGTTTATTGTTACACGTGTAATTGTGTAGTAAGATACAATGATTTAATTAAGTAAACTGCGAAAGAAACAATGGTATGCGTATCAGCAAATTTCTTCCCACCATTGTATATTAATGATTAGGGAAAAGAATTACTCATCAGCCAAGAATGCACTTAGATCGTATGGTACAAATTGCATCAACGCATACAGTATGTGATGAAACAAATAAGGTCTGCATGCTCAGGATTAAGAATGATACTCATACCTTATATAATCACATTAGTAAGAGCTCATTTGGATGTGTTTTTAAAATGGCTAAAAGCGTTTTTAGAGAAAATATTTTTTTGTTCCAAAATCATTTAAATTGTTTTCTGTAAGAAGCACTAGTTATGTGCTTTTTCTAGCAAACTTGCATTTTTACTAAAAATTGATTCAAAAAACATTTCAACTAAAAACGCTTTCAGTTATTTTGAGAACACATCCAAACAAACATTAAGTCAACATGCCTAATTGCAACCAAACACACAATAAGCAAAACATATACGATTACACAAAAGAACTCCCAGGCTTAATTATTTAACGGCCCAAAACTTCACGATCCAACTTCACAGAGCCAACCCAGATAATATTACCGGGTAACTGCAGGCCTGCAGTGGAGCCCGCCTTCACCCCCACCCATCATTCCGAGAGCAACTTTCCCCTCTCTCTCTCTCTCTCTCTCCATGAAGCAAGGCATCGAAGGAAGCTGAGAAATTCAAACGCAGAGAAAGCGAGCTTTCTCTCTCCCCCCCCCCCCCTTCTCTCCCAATCAAAACCCTTTCGCTCTGAAACCCTAAAAAAGCAGAAGAACAAGATGGACGACTACACGAGGGAGATGATGGACCTCAAGACTCTCGTCACTCGCACCCCTCGAGAAGAAGGGCGTACTCGCCAAGATCCGGGTACAATTTCAAATTCCCTTTTTGCCCATTCCCCCCTTTATCTTAATGTTCGTCATCTAGATCTCCTTTCTGTGATTCCGCAGCTGATTTTACCCCAAAAACGAGGTTTTTTTCTCGGGTTCATTGCGTAAATTTCCCCCAGCTTTGTTGACTTCGGCTAGGGTTTTGCAATTTCAAAGCTTGTCTGCTTTTTATTTGCTTATCTGTAATTCGAAGCCTCGGATTTTGAGAAATGCGATGCATAATTAGGCAGTGATTTGTGAATAATCGAACTTGTTATTCGGGTTTTTGGGTTGTTTTTATGATTAATTCAACAGTTTTGTTTTGGTAGGCTGAGTTGAGAGCAAGTGTGTTTGAGGCAATTGAGGAGGAGGACAAGGTCATCGAGAAAGACGAAGGCTTGCCTCCAGCATTGCTTGGTAGCTGCAACGATCGCGCTAAACAGCTCCACGCTTCTCCTTCGGGTTCGTCTACTAACTCAATGCTTATGCTTGTTTAAAACCTTTTGCTCATCAGTTAAATTTCACTTTGACATGCTTGTTATAGGAAGGTTGCTTACGGCACTGATATGCGAGTACTTAGACTGGGCGCAACTAAACCACACGCTAAAAGTTTATCAGCCTGAGTGTAATTTGGTAATCATGTAAACTTTTAGTGCAGAAAGTGTCGGGTGTTTTCAGTAAGTTTTGAACTAATGTGTTGGCCATCTTATGCTAATGGATGTTGCATTTATGTTTTGCTGAATTGCAGCAAAAGGATTCTTGGAAAGCTGAGTTGAAGGACTTTAGTAGCAAGAATGGATATGATCTTAACCGAAATGGAGATAGTGGTCCTTTGCTTTTGGATGTGCTTGAAGGATTTTTGAAATTTGAGGTTTGGTATTATTTTCGAGTTAAAACACAAAATTTTCAAGTTCATTTCAGAATCTGCATTAGGACTTTTTTTTCATGGCAATATTTTATTGGCTTCAAGGTACATTTACACCAATTGTTATGTCTTATCATGTAATTAAGGCTTAGTTTTCTGGACGTAGTACAGATTGATTAAGATTGCATGATTTGTTCTCTGGTTACGTGTGGGCACTTTTCCTCTTTTTCTTTAAACCTATTGGTCAGTTATAGGATGGGATTAATATACAATTTAGAGGTTCAACTGACCTAGGGAAAAAGTTCCCTGGCTATAAGAGAAAGGGGATGCTGAATTGATAATGAAGGAAAAATACAAATTTCTTTAGCTTTTGTTTTGTTTGTAATTATTCCTTTGGTGGATTGCTTACCACTAGATTGTTTTACTACAGAATCTATCTCAATCAAGGGGTACCGGAAGGAGGCTAACGACTTCAGAAACAGAATCCCTGTCCAATTTAGATTCTCGCAATATGAGAAGACCTTCTTCATCATCTGTTGCTGGTGGGCTACCTCCACTAGGAAGGTGCTGATCTACCTTACTGCCCCAATATTACGTGTTTGATTTTCCCCTTTTATTTTGTCCTTCAGCTCTTAATTGATATTAGTTTGTTGGTGTGCTTATGCTAGGCCTGGTGCATCTTCCCAGTCATCTGGTGAGTGACAAGGCTATTTCTTGTGTCTTCCCTTTACATGATTCCTTTTGTTTCTCTTTATCTGATACATTGTAGCATGTTCAGATCGAAGAGGTGGGTCCTCCATGTCTGGCTACAGGAAAGATGACTACAGCTATAGATACGACAGTGATGAAAGTCCAGAGGATGTCATTCGAGCTTCAAGTGCGATGGAAAACCTCCAGTTGGATAGAAAAGCTCGCAATCTAACAACATCTTGGCGGTATGTTCTCAGCCCCTTTTTGTTATATCCACGTTAAACTAAGACTAGTTGACCATAACAAAAAACAAGACTAGTATAAAGCTTTCTTTCCAAAGAAGCTGAAGAGTGATGAGAAATGGTAGAGAGATGGATTTTCAATGGTGTTGAAAATCAAAATAGGGCTATTTGCCATGTGTTCTGTTTCTTAGGTGGTTTAATCCAAATGTAAGTATAAATGGTTGCATTTTCCATGAGATCATATTGTTTTGACCAGCCAGTAAATGCACAGAATTTACCAGTGAATGACATGCTGACCCACCCTCCCCCCCTCCCTCCTTCCCGGTGTCATGTATAAATGAAGGATGTGAAATTTTGAAACCTTGTGATTTAAGGTTCGTTTTAAGTCATCATCGAGTAGCATTTGTATTCAAAAGAGTTAGGAATCACACTTCTTGTGCATTGTTCTCTTAGCTTCGTTTGCTTGATCTGGCTACAGGCACGCAGGAGATGGAATTAGTGAGGATGACGGCAGGGCTGACCAGATGTAGCTGCACGATGACAACCTTTGTATAACTGCACGGTATTTGATTTTGTGTATTTCACCCGCAAATGATAGGCATGTTATGTAAGATTATACCCTATTCTGATTTGATTTAGTGCTTTGTTCGAGTGCTTTTTGATTGATTTCTTGAAATATAAATTAGTAACTGCTTCGTGTTTGCAGTTTTCATTATAATGAAGGGTATGAAATTTCATGCAATTCATAAGGTTGAGCCATTGAGGGGCTTATTCTGTGATCAGCTGGAGCCAAACTCAATGAAGGGGGTTTTATCCTCCATGAGGCTACCACATTTCTAGCCTTAGTAAAAAATTTCATCCCCAATGAGCCGGAAAATGAGGCTCGATCCATCACTGGAGCTAGCAACTTCCTTTCTTGGGTAGCAAAAATCGGGCTACATCTAGCCCCAAAAAATAGTGGGTCTCACGAGATAAGTAGCAACCATGTGAGCAAAATTCTATCGTTCTCTCTTCACTTGCAAATACATTTATACTCTCTTTTTATTATTTTTTAATTCTTTTTTCTTACTTATTTTTCTTACAATTTGGCTAATTAATGATTGTTTTAAATTCCATAAGAATTAAAATTTCAAATTGATTTAACGTTCATAGGCATTTGTGGGTGAAATTTTCAAATAAATTTTTTTTTCAAAATTATATGATACAAATTTACCAATTGGTGCTAGGTAAATTGATGTGTTGTACTTGAAAATCAAATTATTCAGAGGGCGGAGTGGGGGGTTGTATTTTTCAACGGATGAGATTGAGATAAGATAATCTAATCTAACAAATGATTCATAAGTAATGAAATCTAACTTTATCATAATTTGAACATTTTTAGGTTGAAAAGTTCGTAAAAAGAAATTTAAGATAACACGTATAAAAATCAACTTAACAAAAGTTAACACAAAAAAATAATATGCATAAACAAATGACTACAATATATAGCTTCATATAGAGTCTAAAAGAAATAGCTCATCATTCGGAGAGATTTTTTTATAAAACTCTAAAGATTCTTCGGAGCTCTAAAATAGGCTATATTCACCGTTTTTTCAGCTCCATATAGAGCCCCTCACTGGGAATACTCTTATATATCTCTCTTTAGTAATCAAAGCTGTTATCTTGAAAGTTGGGGTCCAAATAATTGAGTAATTTTTTTTTCTTACAACAATGTATTTTACTATGGTTGTGTTTGTGTTTGGTACGCTAAAAGGAATTCATGAGAAATTATTTTTCATGTCTTTTTTCTAGGGAAAGCAAATGCAAAAGTTCTTTCTCATGTTTAGTAACAATGGGAAAATAGTAGGAAATTACTGCAGTTTTAATTTAATTAGAAGTGTGATTGTTTAAATCTTAGTAGATTGTATTTAATATTATGTTCTAAATCTTTCTTGTTGGACTTTATATTCCTTATAGGACAAAGAAGTCTGTTATATTTTCAATAAATAAAGGCACAAAGTGATGAGGATTACACCACAGAAATTCCCCAATTCTCTTCTCTTTTCTCCTTGTGTCGCAACTACCCTATTCTCTCAATTTATTTTTTTTGTCAAACGATAAATTTGTCAGATTAGATGTTAGATTAGGGAGTCGACGGAGTTCAAACCAACACCGTGGTACAATGGCAACAATAGAAATATCATATTTTTGGATACCAAAGGGGTGGAGGGATTCTCCATCCCATTATTTTTCCATGACTTATGAAATCATTTCTCACGTACATGCAATGTCTAAAATATCGATATTATCTCGATATTTTCGTCGAAATTTCCGTGTTTTTGGACTCCAATATTTCCGATATCATCGATATTTTAGACCTTGATAGGAACTCTATGTGGTACTAAGTTACTCATGTATCTTACCATGCAATGTATAAAGTGTAAAATATTGTACTAATTCATTATATATAAATGATTATGGTGTGTTTAAACTTCTTTCATTAATTACTACACATTTTCTACACTCACAATGTTTGCCAGCTCGCTATATAATCAACTTAAATCAGTTAAATCCATCATGCAATGCATTTCCTTTTAATTTTTTGTGATAAACTAATAGATAATTGACTAAATAAACATTCTGCAAAGTTTTAATAAAAATTTCCAAGTTTTTCTTACAATTTCCGTGGTTTTTATTCAATTTTTATCGATATCGATAATATCCCAATATTTCCATTGAAATTTTCGTGTTTTTAAATTACCGATATTTTCGATATCGTCGATATTTTAGACCTTGCGTACAGGTGAATAAGGAGTGAATATCACCCAAGTGATATTAATTGGAAATAATTTTGTAATTTTTTATTAATACTTTGATGACATATCATAATTATTTAAACGAAAAAAGTCATCTCCAAATACTTAAAGAAAGGGCTAAGGGCAATGGCTAACTATGTTTTACACACTCTGGGTTTGATCTGTTTTTTTTTTTTTTGGATGGATCGTGAAATTTTAATTTTCAAACATCACAAACAAAAGAAACAGGAAAAGGGCCATGATGATGATCCTATGTTCATTTTCGCTTTGCTGATGATCGTAAGTTATGTCCTTCACCACGACATTGAATGATATAAAATCTCAGGAATTTGGTCTAATCATGAGTGTAGCATTTTATCATGATGTCGAATCTCAAGTTATGCTTACCTAGTTACATGATACATCAAAAAGAGAAAATAGAAAGTAGAGTTTAAAGGGCAACGGAGAAGCTTGCTGGTGTAGCTTTGTCGATGCTTTTTCACCTTTTCTTTGCTATAATTAAATGTGAAAAGTATGAGAAAACATCTTGTAGAGATTTTGAAATTGTATTTAAGAGAAATGTGCACAAGTATAACAAATTTTCTTCCATGGTATATACCAAAGTGTTCCATAAAATCATTGGTTTAAATCTTGTACATGGGGATCTAATGAACTTTGTAACAGTTAAATCCTGCATAACATACGTACCACTATATATGTCGTAATATTGTAGTCGATTCCCAAGTGTAATTGATTTAAAGATATTTCAGTTGAAATCAGAACCCAAAGGACATTTAGATGTTGATTAAGGGAAATACTTGGTCCATTTGTACGTATGCACAGGTTATTTCATTTATGATTTTGACATCTCTATTAAAACGTTTCTCAATATAATTTATTTAAAAAAAATTGCCGACAAATTCCAACAGAAAACAGAACATGTTACATATGCGTACTTTTTTGACATTCGCAATCGTGGAGCACACACTAGATTTTTTTGCATGTGTCGTGGCGCATTTCTAAGCGACAAAAACCGCCAAAAGTAGGTAAAAATCACAACGTAATTAATCCACGCTCCCTCTCCCCAAACCACCTAAACCAGTAAACCTCTCTCTCCTCCCTCTCTCCCTCCCTCTCTCTCTCTCTCTCTCTCTCTGCAATTCAAAAGACTTTTTGGTCCCTCCCATGGCGGTTCTGAACCGCGTTTTGAGATCACGACGACCGGGAAGCTTCTTCTCGCTCCGGAGCTTCCGCTCCTCGTCTTTTCTAAATTCCGAAACTGACCTCAAAGCGTCTGCCTCCGTCATCCCAAAGCCCCTTCCCCTGCATCGCGACGTCAAGGACAGGAATGTCCGGTGGGTCTTCCTCGGCTGCCCCGGCGTCGGAAAGGGAACCTACGCCTCCCGCCTCTGCCACCTCCTCGGCGTCCCTCACATCGCCACCGGCGATCTCGTCCGCGACGAGCTGGCTGCCTCCGGCCCCTTCGCTCTTCAGGTCCCTTCCATTCGCCCTTAGGGTTTTTGCAATTTCTGTAAATTTAATTCGTTCAAAACCTAACAAAATTATGCGAAATTGCAGCTTGCGGAGGTTGTGAATCAGGGGAAATTGGTTTCGGATGAGATTATAATAAACTTGTTGTCCAAGCGTCTTGAGGCTAGTGCAGCTAAGGGTGAAACTGGCTTCATTCTTGACGGTTTTCCGAGGACGATTCGACAGGCGGTAATACCATCTTCCTTTTTATCAAAATTTTGAAAAGGGAAGCATGAATTTGCTTGAAATGTGGACATATTGATCTCGTAGGTGTAGATAACAAAATGTAGTAGTCAGAATTGAAGATTTAGTTCAGATTAGTAGAGTTGAAATGTGAAAGTAAATTTGTGGTGTCTGAAAAATGATTGCTTGTTTATACTGCCATCCAAATTCCGGCATAGCGATATTACTATTTCCATCTTGCTTCTGTTCGTGTCAAAAGTTATTGCTTTTTACGAATTTAATGTTTGTCTCGAGCGAAATCTGAATTCAGCTGGTTGGTTCAAGTCTTAAACAAGGTTGTCTTTTGTGTTATAACTTGCCTTCTAAGTTTTGATTATTTTGCAGGAAATTTTGGAGGGAGTGACAGACATTGACTTGGTTGTCAACCTAAAGCTTCGTGAAGAGGCTTTGCTTGCGAAGTGTCTTGGAAGGAGGATTTGTAGTGACTGTGGAGGAAATTATAATGTTGCCTCCATTGACATTAAGGCCGAGGATGGGAACCCTGGCATGTACATGGCTCCACTTCTTCCCCCTCCACAATGTGCATCAAAGCTTATCACGAGATCCGATGACACTGAAGAAGTTGTTAAGGAGCGACTTCGTATATACAACGATATGGTATTGTTTCAGCATCTTGGGAATGCTCTTTTATATTCTTGTCAAGTATTCAAGCATTAAACTTATCAGTGTTTAAGATTAAAAATGTATTACCATGACTGAAACACTGCCACCCATAGTTTATAAGGCATTCCACCTTCCTACATATCTACTTCAGAAACTATTCTACAGGCCGAGTGTCCAGCATCCGAAAATAGGTGGACCGTGGACCTTCTTCTCATTGCCATTGTCAAAAGTTCGCATTTGGACATTGTCCAGTCAAGAATTGTTTTTGTCATTAGTCATTTAATTTTAGATATAGCAACAATAGTATTCAGTTTGGTTCAGTTGGTAATCTGTGGATCACATATCATCTTCTTCTTGCAGAGTCAACCTGTGGAGGAGTTCTACCGAAGTCGGGGAAAATTGTTAGAGTTTGATCTTCCTGGAGGGATTCCTGAATCCTGGCCAAAGCTACTTCGGGCTTTGAATCTGGAAGACCCTGAAGACAAATGGTCTGCAGCAGCATGATTCGTAAATCCTGTACTATATACACTAGACAAGTTAGTTTTCATTAGGTAAGCTATATCATTCTTTGCAATGTCATGGAAGCAGCTGCATATAATTTGCAATTGAAGGGGAAAACTTTGGTGTGCAATAAAAAGCAGGTATGGTATTATTCGTTTGCAAAGTTGAGCATTTGTAATATTCAGTCATGTTCTTTGTGTGACTGATGCTTTAGATCGTAGTGATTATCTTTCGTGGGAAGTAAATTTTTCATTGCACCACAAGTTTGCCATGTTTTAATGAAATTGTATCGTTTAACCAAATGTAAATATGGAATTATGTACACAAACAATAGGAGGAGAAAAACATGAAAAAGTTACCGTTTGTTTTCTTGTCATCTTTTTTCCTTTTCATGCATCTGCTCTTGGGTTCTTGTTGAGAACATTCTTCTAAACTGTCAAAGACTGGGTTTACTGATATCGTTGTTCTTCATGGTCAGAAGAGGTTTAAAGTTAGAGTTCCCTCTCCCCCCTCGAACGAGGGACGAAAGGGAATGGACATGTTGCATTATGTGGGTTCTAACCATGTAAAGAATAAAATGTTGGATCGGACGAGGGTTCGCGTCGTTCGGAATCCAATCGCGTGGTGGTTGATGCTGATACTTAAAGTTTTGTTTCTGTATTTGTCAATAGAAGATAGATTGATCGACTTGTAAACCATCTGAGGTATATTAATGTTACACCTTTACAACTTTGCACCTTGAAAATATCTGTTTGTGTGTTTTTACAAAAAAATTTCTCCAAACGTGTGCAAAATATTACACTAAGGGCGAGCCTTAGCACAAAGGAAAGGTTGTTGTTTTGTGATCAGCAGGTCACGAGTTCGATTCATAGAAACAACTTCTTTGTAAAGCAAAAATAAGGTTACGTACGATAAATGTTATTCTCTCGACCCTCACAATTCGAGGGTCTTGTCGACTTGGGCTTGCCCCATATGTGCAAGAAATTACCCAATGATGTCAAAGTTTGATGAAGTTATACCCTAGAACACTGTTTGTCAAGCCAATTGATTAACGAGGAAAAATTTCACAAAACTCCTTGGAACTTTACACTTTTGTGCAAACATCCATGTGAACTAAAATTTGTACAATCAACTACCCAAATCTCAAGTCGTGTGACAATTTGGCACTGCGTCCACTTTCATTCAAGTATGTGGCAAATAATGGCAAATTGTTAAGTATGTGGGTGTTTTTAAGAACATTCTAATCAGTATTAAAAAACTTTTATGATATTTCTTGAAGATATGTAAATGAAATGTCAATCCTAATTTGAAAACATATCGAGAAAACAGTTTTATGAAATCAGTATCATTTCTATTTCGATTCTACAAAATTTTAATAAACGACTTTTATGGAAATCAAAATTTTGATACTCAATCAAATTCCTTTAATTTTGATTGTGGTTAGGTAAACGAGCCCTTGTAAATACCTCAATAATGCTGAGAATGCCCTTAAAAAGGGCCTAAGCACCCAGTAAGTGACATTATTTAATTGAAATTAGGTGAAAAGGGATGTAGGTATCAAATAATCAAATAATTAAAAGTTTGGATGATTAATTGTAAAATGTTTCAATCCAAAATGCACAAAAGCTAAAAGTTCAGGTGATATTTATATCTAAGAAAATTACATCATAAAGCCAAAATATCAATTCATTAAGTCCTATATTATAGAGTTTGAATTTTATTAGAAGTGATCATTTCAATCTTATAGACGAGAAGTTTTCTCCTGCAATCGATAACACCACAGGATAATTCTTAAAAAGATGGATAATGTACTGTGATATTAAAGAAGAATATTACTAGACCGTAATATTAAGTGACCGTACTATTTAAATACATAATAGTTATTTATGCTAAATGACCTAAACATTTAAAACGGTGCTAAATTACCTAAACATTTAAAACGGAAAATTGATGACGTGGGATTCAGGCAGATATTTTTACGATGACGTGGACCATTCGGTGAAATCGGGAGGGCATTTTGGTCCTCCCACAAACAGTCTATTACGTCGTTAGTGTTGGAACCCGCCAAATCCGCCTCCTATTACGTCGACAAATCCAAGCGTCCCATAACCTTTTACTCTCCTCAAAACTCGACACGTGTCATGCGCGAATCCAGCATGTCCTACTACCCCAGTTATCCCACGTGGCATATGTTATCGGTGGAGTTCCCGACCACCACTACGTCCACGTCAATGGATGGCCCTACGTATAATATCTTTATCTCAATTTTGAAGACTTCCGCCTTTCCCCTGCCTCTTCTGCTCCGCCGTCTCGCTACCACCGAAGCCGTTTTTTTTTTTTCCTCCGATGCTTATTTTTCTCTTTTTTCTTTTGTTCTTCAGAAGAGAAAAGCCCTAACGCGCTCTCAGCTCGGAAGCTTCAGACTTTAATAGTAAAAATATCTGAATTCAAAGGTGGGGATCGAGCTCAGAAAATGTCTAAATTTTTGGTATTTTTAGCTATATTTTCTGGATTTAGAGGTCTAAAATCGAAGTAATCAAATTAGTTTCTCAGTTTATTCAATTTTTGATCTTTTGACGTTTTATTCAGTTTATTGTACTTGGTTTAATTGATTTTAGTGCATTATATTGTTAATTTCACTTCAATTTCCTACTGTTTTTATTTTATTATTTTTTATATATCTGTTAAAGGAGCAAATTTGTTGAATTTTTGGTATGTTTGGTTGCTAAATTTGAAAATTGAGTGAGAAATATATGTTGCTGTATCAATTTTCGTGGTGAAGAGAATATCGGGAAGATTGTTTGAACTTGAAGCAATATTAGCTCTGGTTAGGTAAATCAGTGGGGATGGAAGGTGTTTGCTTACTCTCGAATCGATTTCATAGAGCATGTAGTTTACAATTATTTTGAATCTGATGGTTTTTGTTGAGCTTTACTCCATTTTAGGTCTTGTTAATGCTTGCATCTTGAAGACAACGGGATGTGCAGCGTGATCCCGTTGTCTCTTTGAATCTGGTTGATGGGGGAAGTTGGGATGAGTAGCAATAGTCCTCTTACCAAAGAGCGTGCGGAAGTAAATTGCCACATTCAAGATGAGAACAAGGAAACTAAGGATGGGGTTGTGGGAGAGGGGCGAGGGCTCCCAAAAAAAGATGATTTTCGGGTTAATGAGGACTTGCAAGGCGCACATGATGGGCGGGCAGAACAACAGCTCCAAGGGTGGGAGGAGTTCTTATCTGTCAGGTCTCTGAAGGTTCTTCTAGTGGAAAATGATGATGGAACTCGCAATATTCTTCGTGCTTTACTGCAAAATTGTGGCTACAAAGGTTAGTATAATGCAACACATGAGATCCTATGTGTAGGACTAGGATTAGTTGAAGTGTACTGGTGTAGATCTTTGTATGACATGATATTTCAAGTTTATAGGTTGCTTTCAGTTGTATGATCGATCAATATACGGGTAGATTTCAGTAAAAGTATTTTAGTTGTAAAAGTTAAAAGGCTGCAATTAGTATTTAGTATTTTTCTAATACTAAACAAGAATGTTTATTTTGTAACACACTCACCCTTGTATTGTGGAATTTAGGTTTTTTTTTGTTAACAAAGGATAAAAAAAAACTTAATCCACTAAGACTTAAGGCATTTAATTTCATCCTTGTGCGCTGCCGACGATTTCAGACTCCGGTGCTTAATCCACTAAGGTTGTCAGTAACCGAGGCATCTACGATCTCAGACAATAATACAAATTATGTAGTCTTCAAGTCAAAAGCTTTCCTTATGATGTTAAATTTGTGACCAAAAACATTTTTGCAATCGTAAAAATGGATTTTGTGATTCTAATTTTCATATGCTTTAGAGTTGAGGGTTCTTTGAGAAAGTTCACTTTGCAAGAGTAATAGACTCAATAGTTCACTTCCAATTATCCTAAATAATTTGGGAAAATAAGGCCAATTTCCATTTCCTGTAATTGCTTTTTTTTTTTTGGTAAAATTAACAGTGGATTTGATCTTTGCAGTAATAGAGGCAGATAATGGTATACGAGCTTGGGAAATCTTAGAAGATCTTACGACTCATGTTGATCTTATTTTGAGTGAGGTTGTCATGCCCAGTTTGTCAGGCATGGATCTCCTGACCAAGATAATGGACCACAAAACTCGCAAGAATATTCCTGTAATTAGTAAGTATACTTTTACATTTTTACTCAGGCGAACATAATACTGATTTACCTATAGTACTTTTAGAAGGTCGATACTTTAGCTACTGAACCTGGTGTGTTTTGTGCAGTGATGTCGAGTCAAGATTCTATGAGTACAGTTATCAGGTGTTTATCGATGGGCGCAGTTGACTTTCTATTGAAGCCTATTCGAAAGAATGAACTTAAAAACCTCTGGCGGCATATTTGGAGGAAATGCCACAGGGTAAGTAGCTCTAGTTATTACATTTTATGTATGATACTATGTCGTGGAACTATTGTTTTCAGTTTGGATTTCGTTTATACATTCAAGCATCAGTGCATCACCAGAGCACGTGCAGAATTTTGATATCTATTTTTTCGTTCATTACTCATCCTTTCAGCAATCTAGTGGTAGTGGGAGTGCAAGTGATATCCGAACTCAAAAATCTACAGAGTCGTCAAGTTTTGAGGAGTCAGACAAGAACACTGGCAGTAATTGTGATGATAACATCGGCCTTGGAAACATTGGTCTGACTGATAGGGATGAAGGTGACAATGGAAGTGGCACTGAGGTATGAATTCGTCCGGTCTAGGATCTTTCTGGTTCTACGTTTTTAATCGTTTATCCTCTCTTGGCTGGTTTATTCTATTTTCATTTATCAAGTATGTTAGGTGTTGATGTAAATCTTAAAACAATTAAGCCAAGATCATCGAACTTCATGATTTTCACATACAAATAAAATGCGGAAATACATTAAACAACCAAGTGTACCTTGATCCATTACAACGAACGCTATGAGATCCCAAACGGATTCTGTCAGCGGCGGAGGAAATAGGTGTTCTCTCTCTTGCTTCTATTTGCCCTAATCGTGTTTTTTCTATCAAGTGCATATTAGATGGGTATATGCAATATATATAAGTGAGGCAGAGAGAGGACCCGTTTCCATTTAAAGCCCATAATCAATTACCACCCATCACAGTAATTCGATAGGAAACATTTCTCATAATTTGACCAATAGGATTATTTACAAATAATAATATCCGTTAAACACTACATATCATATGGACCGTGTCATATGGACCACTTTAGAATATTAAAATATTCTTACATTCTCCCACTTGGTCCATAGTGACACATGTTCCTTTTCAAGTTTAACAAATAAACATTAAGTGCGCAGTAAAGTTCGAAATAATCCTTACTATCAATTGGTCAACATAAATACTCATCTTAAGCAATTCACTAGTGCGAGTCATGGCGGTTGTACATCAATGAGTGACATAGTCCCTTCCATGTACCACAACACTAGCAATTACCTAAAACAGTGTTAGTGAGAAATACATATATAGGTTCGATAATGTCTTTGTCAGAGACATTCCTGTTATCATTCATCCAATCTCATAAATGTATACATATAATGGAAAATAGGAAATACCAGAAACATGTTCAATTATCGAGCTTAGAGTGTCAAGCACAATATTGTCATTAAACAAATTCTCATAAACAAAATAAAAATGACAATCATCATGGACTACGACCAAGACCCATTCTTTCAACATGATCATTAAATGCCTTCGGCCCCATTCCCTTTGTCAAGGGATCTGCGATCATAAGCATTGTGCTTATGTGCTCAATAGACACTCTTTGTTTCAGAACCTCCTCCTTAAGAGTCAAGTATTTTATATCCATGTGTTTAGCACCATTAGAATACTTGTCATTCTTGGAGAAGAAGACAGCGGCAGCATTGTCATAGAAAATTCTCAACGGCTTAGCAATGGAATCAATAATGCCAAGCCTTGAGATAAAATTCTGTAACCATAATCCATGATTTGTAGCCTCAAAGCATGCTATAAATTTAGCTTCCATGGTGGATATAGCAACAGCATCTTGCTTTGTACTCTTCCAGGAAATTGCTCCTCCAGCTAAGAGAAACAAGTAACCAAGAATTGATCTTCTACTATCAATACATCCAGCAAAATCTGAATCTGAATAACCAATAATTTCTAGGTTATTAGATTTTCTATACGTGAGCATATAGTCTTTCGTTCCTTGCAAATACTGCATCACTTTCTTTACAGCTTTCTAGTGATCCATTCCTGGGTTGCTTTGGTATCTGCCTAACATCCCAACTGCAAAACTGATGTCTGGTCTGGTACAAGTTTGTGCATACATCAGACTTCCTACAACAGATGCATAAGGAATACTTTCCATTTGTGCACACTCCAATTCATTTTGTGGGCATTGCATAAGGCTAAACTTATCCCCTTTCTGAATTGGAGCAACACTGGATGAACATTTTTCCATACCGGATCTCTCTAGAACTCTCTCAATATATGCTTTCTGAGATAGGCCCAACACTCCACGTGATCTATCTCGGAATATTTCAATTCCTATCACATAGGCCGCCTCACCCATATCTTTCATTTCAAAGTTCTCCGAGAGAAACTGCTTGGTCTCATGTAATAGACCAAGATCACTACTAGCAAGCAAAATGTCATCAACATACAGAATTAGAAAGATAAACTTGCTCTCACTGACCTTCAGATATGTACATCGATCAGCGATGTTTGCTTTAAAACCGAAGGATACAATGATATTATCAAACTTAAGAAACCATTGTCCTGAAGCTTGTTTAAATCCGTATATTGACTTCTTTAGTTTACAGACCATGTATTCCTTTCCCTTTAATGTGAAGCCTTCAGGTTGATCCATGTAGGCTTCTTCTTCCAAACTCCCATTCAAGAATGCTGTTTTCACATCCATTTGATGTAACTCTAAATCATAATGAGCTACTAATGCCATAATGATTCTAAAAGAGTCTTTCTTTGAAACTGGTGAGAAAGTCTCTTTGTAATCAACGCCTTCTTTCTGAGTAAAACCTTTGGCCACCAATCTGGCTTTATATCGTTCTATATTGCCATTAAAATCGCGTTTGGTCTTAAAAACCTACTTACACCTAACTCTCTTACAACCTTTAGTCAATTCAATGAGATCCCAGACTTCATTTTTGTCCATTGATTTTAACTCATCATTCATGGCATCAATCCATTTACTAGAACCAATACAGTTAACGGCTTGTGAAAACGAAACCGGATCTTTATTTATTCCTATATCAACGTCAGACTCTTGTAGATATACCACATAATCATCCGAAATAGCGCGTTTCCGTTCTCCTTGAGATCTCCTTAATGCTATTTCTTGTGGTTCTTCCACTACATTTTCATTTGTGATAATCTCATTCTGAAGCAGATGGTCATTAATTTGTTGTTCAACATTGTCTAACGGTTCAACATGTGCAGGAACAACAACTTGCTTAGTAATTATAGGTGTAGGGATCTGCACCCTAACTTCATTAATGACCAATTCTTTAGGTTTTTTTGCTCCCATTGATTTCACCACTTTCAATGAATCTGGCATTGCCGGTTTCAACAATTCTCATACTATGATTAGGACAGTAAAACCTATATCCTTTGGATTTTTCTGGGTAACCAATAAAGTAACAACTACAACAACAACAACAAAGCATTTTCCCACTAAGTGGGGTCGGCTATGTGAATCCTAGAATGCCATTGCGCTCGGTTTTGTGTCATGTCCTCCGTTAGATCCAAGTACTCTAAGTCTTTTCTTAGGGTCTCTTCCAAAGTTTTCCTAGGTATTCCTCTACCTCTTCGACCCTGAACCTCTGTCCCGTAGTCACATCTTCGAACTGGAGCGTCAGCAGGCCTTCTTTGCACATGTCCAACCCACTCATTCCTAATCTTATCCTTTCTCGTGAGCCCACACCTCCAACGAAGCATCCTCATCTCCGCTACACCCAATTTGTGTACATGTTGATGCTTCACCGCCTAACATTCTATGCCATATAGCATCGCCGACCTTATTGCCATCCTATAAAATTTTTCCTTGAGCTTCAGTGGCATCCGACGGTCACACAACACGCCGGATGTACTCTTCCACTTCATCCATCCCGCTTGTATTCCATCTACTCTGTCTTTGATCGGCTTAAGCGAAGACTTTTAGATTCCAACGCTTCTCTCCAAAGGTTAAGCTTCGCATTTACCCCTTCTTGAGTTTCATCTATCAACCTTATATCGTCTGCGTAAAGCATACACCGAGGAATAACATCTTGAATATGTTCTGTTAACTCATCAATTACCAATGCAAAAAGGTAAGGACTTAAGGATTGTTGATGCACAAAATCAGTGAAGACTTTGGTACAACAGAAAGTATTAAGTTTGTGACCTTCTCTAGATTGCTCCGGTCATTAGTGTGGATAAGTATGTAAAAGGATAGAGACAGGAGAGCAAACACAAGATGTACGTGGTTCACCTAGATTGGCTACGTCCACGAAGTAGAGGAGTTCTCATTAATTGTGAAGGGTTTACACAAGTACATAGGTTCCAGCTCTCATTTAGTGGGTACAAGTGAATGATTTAGTACAAATAGCATTAGGAAATATTTTGGGAGAATGATCTCATTTTATAGAAGAGAGTTTCTAGCCTTGTTTTGACATTGACACGTGTCGTGTTGTGATTGGCTTTCGATGTTGACACGTGTCGCGCTATGATTGGCTTTTGATGTCGACACGTGTCGCTCTATGATTGGCCTCCTGGTTGGAGGGGAAGCTCCTCGGTTGGGGACTTGCAAGATCCAAGCCGCTGAGTAATCACGAAACTTCTAAGTACCGGAGTGTGGTATCGTCTTCACTTGTCTTATCTGTCTCATAGGTAGATGTGGCATCTTCTCTGGAAGTACTCTTCCTCCGTCCAGGGGTGATATCTTTAACTGGTGGATATGCACAATGTAATGTATCAATTTCACTTGAAGCTTACTTGTAGTTTCAGGCGTGGTCAAGCGCGATACAAACCATGTAATAGGAGTTCCCCAAGTCGCCGAGTTAGGGAATCTGCTGAAAGATGTGACAGACAAGGTAAGCAATTAGAGCTCCAAGCAATCAGTTCCAGATCAGAAGTTTGATTTTGAGTTCCGGCTGATTGTTTTCATTCTCCTTATCTTGCAGGCAGCATGAAGGATAAAGAGAAGAAAATGAAAAGAGATGATATGAGATACTTTTGCTTTTGAAGAAGTAACTTTCCACAGGCTTATTCTTGAACTGGGCTGGAGGGTTTTCTGGTTACCTCCAGAGTATAAGGCTGACTAAAGAATTTGAGGGTCAAAACAAGTCCATCAAATCTGGAGTACGTTCGACCCTGCTAATATGGGATACTTTTGTTGTTGACAAAGTAGTGAAAGTATCGACACGTGTTCTGTTACCCTTGTCTCCACATGCTTCCTTGTATCCTTCTCATTGGCCCTATCTGTTCCTCAGGCAGATGTGGTATCTGCTCTGAAAGCATAAGATGTTGAATGAGTACTCGAGAGCAATGCCAGGTAAGTAATCAGATAAGGGGTTCCAGGCAGTCAGTTCCTGACTGGAAGCTTGATTCCAAGTGCTGACTGATTGCTCTCTTTCTCCTTGTCTTGCAGGTAAGAACAAGGCCAAAGGAAAAGACAGGGAAAAAGCATGATATGGGATACTCTTGCTTTTAACCCTAATGATATGAGATATTCTTG